TCGCACCAGCCGGAACGAACAGCCAGCTACACCCTAAACCCTAAAACCTAAACCCTAAACCTTCACCTTTAACTCTTCAACATGATGGGCCATCACCCAGATCTGACCTTCCTGGCCTTTCCAGTGAAGCTGTTGAGGGTTTAGGGCAGTTTAGGGTTTTAGGGTCTTAGGGTTTTAGGGTTTAGGGCAGTTTAGGGTTTCAGGGTTTAAACGTTAATGGGTCAACATTCCTCCCAAGTCTTCCACCCCCACGGACCGAAGCCTGAAAGACCCTCCAAAGCACTACATCTGCAAGCCGAACGCCTTTCGATTCAGTGCCTGAACTCGAAGGCATTGACCGGCAACTCATTCTAAAACCTTCAGCGCTGGATGAGCCCTTGCAAAATTGCTGATTCCTAAAGCCCTAAACCCGAAACCCTTTGACTCGAAAGCCTAGGGCCTCAAGGTCTCAAGCCCCTGTAAACACCAGGATCTCGACGAGCTGCTAGCGACCATTGATTTAGATGGGGCTGGAACCTCAGAACGTCGGAGGAACAAGAGTTGGATGTTCATAGGGCTGAAGGTTCAGTGGATGTTCAGGTATTTCAGGCACATGGGTGTTAGCACTGGTTTGGGTTCTTGGGGTTGATGTTTTCAGGTCGCTGAAGCTTCTTGTGGCTTCGGTAATGGGATGCCGTCTGACATTTACCCTAGTACCTAGCAAGGGATGTTTGCAAAAGTTGTCCTTTGCAACAGCTCCTAGACCACAGTTCCTTATCACCGCCAACCACAAACAGTGCGTGTTGAAGTCTGCACACGGAATTGAAGCTTCGGTTTCAAAGTGTCTCTGGCGAGGACATATGTGAATCCAAATGCACATCTGGCTCCATATATAATCACCAAGATTTGTCCTTAGGGCTCCTCATGCTATATACATGAGCACGAAACCCTGTTCTAATTATAAAGGCCCCTGCATCGGGTTCTTTGCAGTCCCAAGTGCCAAAGTCGCATGTCGAGCCTTACTAACTGCGCAAGATAGAACACAGCCGTGCGCACAGGCGTAGGCGTTAAGCTTGCTTCGGGAAGACTGTTGCGTTTAGGGTTTACGGCTTAAGGTCTCGCCAGCAGTTTGTTTGTGTCTTTGCGAAACACGTGGTTTCAGAGCGTCAGGGGTTACACGGACGGCAATTGGGTCAGTCATGAGGTTCTGGCACGGGTTGTTTCTGTGAGTTTTCCGATTGCGTCTGCAGCTGGGCAGCAGACGTCCATGCTCTCAATAATAAAGAAGTCGAGCCGTGACGGCTTCAATACAACTCTCACTCGTCGTGGATAGCGTGCAGATATAGCTCCACAGTTAACACGAAGTATCAAGAGCTTCATTCTGTAGGAAACAGCATGGAAGTACTCTCATGCACCCAGCATCATAGACCCCTAAACCCTGAACCCAAAACCCTGCCAAATGTGCAATTGTTCGGGTTTCGGCCTGCCTGGAGGATGCCACCATCGAGCTCGATGCTGTGCCGGCACGAAAGACAAAGCCGCCGACCACGGCAGAAACTTGGCGAGAGTGGTTCGTTGATGCAGGTTGCTGCACGTTGTGGGTTGTCAAACATCTTCGGGTCATCAAAACGATCACAATGTCATCGGTTTTCAAACAGGCACTGCTGATTTCATACCAACATGACTAGCCGGACACGGATCTCGAGATGGTTTGCTGATGCATATCGCGACTGGTTCAAAGACTGACTCGGAGGCACGTGCCGAGAGGAAGTTAGAAAAGTCGAGTTCCTCCCAGGGGGGTCTTGACAGTTACATGCCGACACTCAAGTAGATTTGTGCCGATTCAGGCCCTGCGATGTGCGCTCCGGTCATGCTGTAACAAGGCTGACAGTTCGACGGCCGCCGGAAGACTTGCAAATATTGCAAATATAACCAGCAGATCTTATATAAGAGTTGTGTCGTGGGCCGTCGTGAAATCCTATTGCCCCATAGAAGCAAAGCAGCGCAGGCTGGTCACTAGGGAGGGTGGGGGTTCATTTCTTCATGAGCTGAACGTTCAGACACACTCCGGCACAAACCACGTCGTTGTTGGCGTTCCTCCGGGCAGGTCTAAACCGCATTCAAGCAAACTCTTCTCTCGATCCAGTGTCGCCGTGTCGTGGGAAAATTTCTTTTGGAGAGGGTTCCACTATGTTCTTCTGAGAATGCAGACGCTGAGAGGCTAGCTCTCAGCTCGCTTCTGCATGCGCAGAATCCTGACCCAAATCTATAGAAGCTACTCCTTACAGCTCTTTGTTCTGTTTGTAGTATCATGTGCTCAAAAAGAACTTTTGTCAAAAAGGCTCCAACTAGAGCTCTATTTAAGCCTCCAAGGTCTGAGTGCAAAAGCCACAAAGCCATCCCCGAGCAAAATAGAACAGGCTTGAATCTACTGTAGGGGCCTCAATAATTACTAATACTATCCCCCAAGCCCTATTCTAATTGTTGAGGCCCTTATATTGCCCGTTTAATTCAGAGTTTAGGATTCGGACAGGGTTTTGTACTTCGGGACTTACGGTTTAGTATTCAGGATAGAAGTTGTCGGTTTGGATTTAAGGATTCATGGATTAGCTTCATTGTTGCTTTATCATTGGCTGCCAGGAAAAGCCGCAGAATGTTGCCATCGAGCTGGATGCCGCGCCGGCGCCAAAGAAAGCAAGAGGCAACACCAAAGTGACTCGGCAGAGACATGCTTTTTCGCGAAGCCTTGAGGCAACATGCACAGATATCCGTATTCGATTCGCAAGCTCCACTAAATCTGCACAAAGCGGCAGTTTCGCTGAGATCTGTTCGACAGGTTGGTATATGCTCCCTAAACCCATAATCCCGCCAGGAGAAGGTTCAGGATGGCGCGATAGAATTGGATGCTGCCCCGGCACCAAAGGAAGCAGCGGGCAAAGCCGCAGCCAGTTGGCATTAATGCATAGATCTTTTCAGTGTTTAGACCAGACCAGAAGTGCAATCCGTTTTATCACATCAGCAATGTTTTAAGCCGTTTGACACTTTGTACCTAAGTCTGAGTAGGCGTAGTATGGAAGCGCAAAATTTTGCCAATACATTGTAAGGCTAGTCCACCGGACGTTGCCATCGAGCTGGATGCTGCACCGGCACCAACAGAAACAGCAAAGGACATGGCAGCTTGGGAGAACTCAGGAAGAAGTTAGATGTCTGTGTATCTGCTCGCCTGAACCCCAAACCAAAAGTCTCGTGCAGTCTTCCGACTTCTGCCACCACTGGGCTTGAGAGGCAGAGTTCCTGAGAGAATTCCATGGTCTCAGGGTCCGTTCCGGTGGTTGCAGCGGCTTCTGCTGCTTTGGGTCTAGGGGGGTTGTTCTTACGCCTTAAACCCGTGTTGTCCCCGTGCCGACTTGTTTTAGGAAGTGACTTGTTTTTTCTGTATTAGGGGCCAAAACCCTAAACCCTAAACCCTAACTCTATATGCAATGCTGCGATAAGTCAACAAGCAGATCAGCCTGTGCGAGGAGCAACCGAAGGTTGCTACGGCGCAGGATGCTGCGCCGACCGAGACATCTGACAACTCTGTTGTGGCTTGGCAAATATCAGGAAGAAACACCCTACTTGGAGGTTCATGGGTAGTTATAAGTGGGGTTATAAGTAGGGTAACTGAAATTCTAACCCATGTTAAGGGACTTATAACCCGATTTATAACTACCCATGAACCTCCAAGTAGTTTGCCAAGCCGACCTTCCATCTCCATCTCGTTCCTGTCCGTCCAAAAGCTTGCCTTTGCGCGTGCCCCTGGATACGTTTGGCTGCCTGTCCGTTTCCGTGCCATTTGTCAATATGTGGCTTTGCGTTCGTTCCGGAGGCTCACAATGTCAAGTGTAATCCGGAACCTTTGCAGACGCACTCTGCGATGGTAGCAAGGACAAGCCACCGGAAGCTGCGACTGCTGCACCGGTACCCACGGAAGCAGCAGACACGACCATAGCAACTTGGCAGAACAACCCTGAATCCTAAACTGCTAAACCCGAACACTTTGGGAACTTTTGTAGATCTTGGAGCCTCACGTCGTGAAGACTCTCCAGCATGATTCAAGGACTCACCGCATAAATAGACATGCTTAAAACCAAATGGTGAACCAATTGCTTTGCGGCCTTTCGCAATTTCGGACCACCCTAAACCCTAAACCCTAAACCCAAAACCCGAAGCATTTCCCAATCAACAAGGCGGTGCCGTTGCAACACCAAACCTCCCGAGTCATGTTTGGACAACCCTTAGCCTGGATGTGTTATACCTTGAGACTCCAAATTGGAGTTTCCGAAAATTAGGGGTACCTTATTTTGGGGTCCTTATAATAAGAATCCTACTATTTAGGGTGCTATATATCAGGGTCCCCTATTCTTGGAAACCCCAAATCCCTTAAGTAAGGAACATACCTTACACTGTAAGGGGATTCTTAGCAATATTTGAGGTGTCTTCCCTAATTAAGGAACATACCTTCCACTATCAGGGGGTTCTTATTTATCTTTTAAGGTTTCTCCCTCTCAGGGTAACGAAAAAAGGCATGTTTTGGCGAAGCTCAGCCTACCGGCCCGATCAGAAGACTAAAGAAGACTGAAGTATCGAGTTGAAAATCTTGCCTTTGCCATGAATCGGTGCGAGACATCGGGAAGTTAGAAGCCATGCGAGAAACCCTAAACCCTACGCCACGCCTTCGATCCCAGTAGTTCTTCCCTAGCTTTGCTGAGGATTTCAGCGGCTCTTTTCGCAGCCGTTTGCATTGTCCTAAGCAATCTTAAACCCTCAGCCCCAAATCCTAGACCCTATATAGCATTTAGGGTTCAGAGTCTTTAGGGTTTAGGGTTCTAGAGGTTAGGGTCTAGCCAATAATGACGTTGACCCTAAACCCTAAGCCCTGACTCGTTTGCAAGGAAGGACCGAAGAAGGGTGCCGCGACGCAGGATGCTGAGCCTCTGACGAAGGAAGCTGCAGACAGCATTGTGGCGACTTGGCAGAACCTAAACCCTAAAACCCTAAAGCCCTAAAGCCCTGAAGCCCTAAACATGACACCCTAAGCCCTAAACCCTAAACCCTAAGTCAATACAAAATAGGCTGATATCAGCTGACTCAGAGAGTTTGAACTTCATGAGGTCGTCGAACAGACGATTTTCGAGGGCTCCTTTTAAGGGGGGCCTAGAACCCGATAGCATTTTTGAAGGGCTCCTTTGAGGCGTCCTTTTTCTTTTGGGTTGGACAGAAGCAGCTCAACCCTGTAGTTGCGGGTTTAGGGTTTAGTGCCCGTTTCTCTACGCACTTGCTCAGCTGTCTACCTCATACGGTTGATGATACAAATCCTGCATTACCTTAAGGACTCTAAACTATGGGAATTAGGGTATATTCCTCACTAAGGGTAAAGCAGGATCTAGATCATCAACCGTAGTTGCCAGTGTGAGTATGTATCTTTGTGCATATCGATCTGTGGTTCTGCTTCGTCGGTCTTTCGAAGTGCCTTCCAGCCGATCTAACTATGTGCGCACATCGAAGTCCCTATACTTCCGGAAGAAACTGCACATACTGATAGATACAAGCGCTGTGGTCTTGCGGGATCAGTCTTTAATTTCATATATTAGATTATAGTATACAATATACCATAGTATAATGTAGTATAATATACTCTGATGTAACATGCTATAGAGCAATAGGTTATGACGTCAGTTGGAATCGGGTTTAAAGCTTGATGCAGTCTCAAAGCATATTCTATGGACCAAAAGAGTTTAAGCCCTGATGTTGCCCAGGAGCAAGCAGCGGATGCTGCCGAGCAGGTGGATGCTGCGCCAAAGCCAAAGGAAGCAGCAGATAGCAATGCAGCACCTTGGTTCGTCTTTGGAACAACTGGCTTTGAGGTTACAGCACCCGAGGCCATGCCCCTGCCTCGGTTGACTTGCAAATAGCTCCTAAGTTTTACAAGCCTTTCAAGTACATAGATAAGCAAGTAAATCTGTACATATACATATGGGCATTGATCTAAAGGTCCTTGTCGCTGTATACACAACGACTACGGGCACAACATAACTTGCCATCGCGAAATTTTCGCGATGGGTCCGATCAAGAATTTTGTTTGCGAAAATTATTGCATCAGCCTACTTGCACACTATTATTTGTATTATTACGACGACGACGACGACTACTA